CGTGATTCAATGAAGATCGAGCAAAAGGAACCTGAAGGGCATAACACAAAATGGTATTCAGTTGATCCTCAATAGTCTCATTTAAAACTATATAATTAGTTCAAGGAACTCTTTGTTTCTTCCTTCTTTCTATCCACACTCATCAAACATATGTAGTGAACATCGGATACCTTCTTCAATCTGACAACTCGCTTTCCTTTGCAGACATATAACTGCTTTTCAAACTCTTCTTCTTCTGCCTTTTTAAATCCGGAAGCAAAGCCACCTTCTAATGGAATAATGCAAGGTTTAAAGTATGACAAAAATTTGTCAGATTCATGGCCTTGAAGTTCCCTGTGCTGCACTGCACACCCTCCTAGTACTGAATCCAGATCAATTGTTTTGATAGCAGCTGTTCCAGCCTCATCCTGAGCGTAACGAAATGATTTCAAAAGATGTCTTAATTTATTTGAAGGCACATTTAAATCCTGAACAAATTAAGAAGAGTAAAAGTAGATGCAGCGAAAACACACCTTACTAGTATCTTTACCAATCCAGAAGTGTATATCATATAGATATGAACCACCCTTGCTAGATGTTGTCTACAAAAATAGCACATAAAAGAAGTGATTGAGACATTACAAAAAAGCAGTAAACCACATTGAATGATTTATCTTGGCCCAGAATAAGGTAAAAAATGCATGTGCAGCAGTGCGAGTCCACAAAAAATAGAGAAAACAAGAGAGAAACAAAATCTTCACCTGTAAGACAATATAAGAATCCCCCATATAGAATTTCCATAGTCAGACTTTGGCAACGGAACTGGCTGAAAATTCTCAATACGCCAGATTTCAGTCCCACTATAAGATGTCAAGTGCAACAGTCTTTATGCGAAAAACTAGTAGCATATATATGTTTATGGAACATAAGCACACATCTCAAAAAGAACGCAAAAAACATGTCATTTTTTATTTTCGAGGTGGTGTTGGAAAAATAATTGATTATGGTCTCTCTTAGCAAAAGTTAGGTTTAAATAAATATACATACTCTTATATAAAGAAAAGGTTAAAAGAATCTCAAGTTCATGAATTCACAACTCATTATATGCCCCTTCATCTTAAGGATACGGTTTTTGACCCACTCCTTGAAATGCAGGATCCTGAACTTTTGCTGGGCTAGACATTTCTCAGAATTCTTTATCGATGTTTTATCAAGCAAATATATGATAGATCAACTTAGAATACAACCTGCACGAGCCAGGAAATTGCACAAAACTTACTGGAGAAATACATGTATTTTATTATGCACTCAAAAATGAAGTCCCAGTAGAAAATATTTATAGAAAAAAAAAAGTAACCATTTGATCAATGCATACAATAATTTTAGTTGATTAAAATTATGTTCCGATTTCACATTGCACTAATAAGCAGAAAACAAAGTGCAACAGTGTAACAATCTGGGCCATAGCAGAAAAAAGAGTTTCTTGTTATAACAGCACAATCAAAAAGAACTCATAGGTTTCACAATATTCAGTAATAAGCCAATGCAACGACACTATGTACTGTCAAAGATCCTACATTAAGAAATTTCAGATAGTCTTTATGTGTCCAAGCATGCAATGCAGCCAACTTGATATGTATTGCTTCTAAGTAAAACAATTCTAAATTAACATTAACAATCTCAGTAGCTGAATCCTGTCTTACCCATGACCTTCATGATATATCTTCTCTCCTCCATAAATTAATGTCTGGAATTTGATCCACATCAGAAGGAAGAGACTAATGTCTTAAGAATGTATTTCTTCCTTCCAAAACCAGATCTACCGGTCCAGTCAAAATGCTCTAATTAGGTTACTAAAGTAATTACAGCTTTAGTTTCTAATGACAGTATCCATACTAAGACTAAGACTTGGCTGAGCCGGGTCGAAAAGGCGGTGATAAAAAATAGAATAAGAATGATGTCTACAATTAACACATTTTATATTCCACACCAGTATATGAAATACTAAGAGCAACTTTTCAGCTTGTGTAAACTGAATGACGTGTTATTGCCTAATTCAAAACATCAAGATAAAGTTCAAATAATTGACAGTAAAAAAAAAAGAAGCATATGGATATGCACACATTTGACAACTTCACATGATATGGAATTTAATAATAAATAATCTCATATTATTCTGGCCAACAAAATAAAATAAGATAAACTGATTTTCTTTAAACCAATAATCATTCATTTTAATTATATTATAACAGAAGCCCACTTATACTACACACTAAGTTCCAAACGTTTGCTTGCAGTTGTCGCATGCTCTTAGGAGAATACCCTAATCAATCATGCTCGAAACTTGACATAAACATCAATCAACCAAGAGCACTTTGAGGAATGCAAAGTATTTTTTATTTGATCACACAAATAATCAGAAGGCAGCAACAGAATTTTAGTATTAGTGCCATTGATGAGCAATCCAAGCAGCAAGTTACATGATCAATCGCGGGATCAAAAAGCAAGGAAAAACTGACTAATAAGAACCCAACAACCATTCAAAACTTAACTCATCTTTTAATCTATAATGCTTGGTTACAATAACAAATTAAACCATTTCTAAACCCCTGCAAAAAAAAACTGAATTCTTTGTCAGAATAAAGCTTTAACAAGCAGACAATTGGATCAAAACAAGAGTTAAGGGAAAAAAGAAAAAAACCATTAAAGTTTAGACAATATCAAGCATACCCAGATCAATAGACATGAACACAAAAACGAAAAAATGGAGATCCAAATGAGTGATAACCAAAGAAAGCAAAGAGATTGATGGTAGCAATAGGAGGAAAAACAGATGGTGATGAAGGCAAAAGGGTACCTTGAGAAAGATCTCCCCCCCCCCCCTTGGAGTAAGCAGAGTAGGCAAATAAAAAAAATAAAAGGGAAGATGTTGGGAAAGAAAAAAAAAAGTGAATTATTGCAACGGTATCGTCGTGTGTTTTGCTGAGTGTCTCTCTTCAACTTTATATATTCATTTTTCTCAGACTTCTTCGAGATTTGCAACTGAAATATGAATGATTGAATTGTGGTTGAAACTTAAAAGCCGAAAAAACAAGCAATATAATGTTAGGAAGGAAAGTAAGGCTTTTTAGGTCAACAAAAATCATATCTTTGTAAAAATATCCAGTGACCATAGCATTGCTTAGATAGAACTTTTACTCGATTACCATTACCTTATTTTTTTTTCCTTCTATTTTCAGTCTTTTCTCTTCTTCTTTTTTTCTTTTTACAGTTTAAATATTAGTAAGACTTTGCTATAATTGTTATATTTATAATTTTTTAATTATCGAGATAAATCAGTTCTTATACAAACAAATAACATTATTTATCGAATGTATTAAGATTTTAGTTATATTTTTAATAGTCAAGATTTTAGTTATATTCATGCTCAAATAACTAATAATAATTTTAATCTATCTTTTTAGTATTTATTAAATATATTGTTTTTATATTCTAATAATATTATATTTATTTTTTGAAAATATTTTTCATTCACTATTAATAAAATGAAAATATTTTTTTCATTGTTATTATATTTATGAATACATTGTTTATCAATACTTTAATATTAATATATTTACATTTTTATTATTCTATTCTTAAAAAGCTAATTATTCAAAAATATGATTAAAGTGTTATGATTAGAATTTTATGTATTAAATAAATAAAATTTAAAAATATTATTAGGAATTCTATGCCTATTAAGGACCTTCAAAAATAATGTCTGTTAAGGTTATAATTTTATATGATATTTATTATTGTTAGATATTGACTCAAATTTTAATTGGTAATTAAGTTAAATTTTATTATAATCCTAGTTGTTGAAGATTAATTTTGTTCTTTGTTCCATTAAAATTGAGAATTGATTTTTACCAATTGTTTTATTAGTCCCCTATCAAATTTATTTGTGCATATTTCTTTGATTATATCAAATGATTTAAACTTTAATTATAAATTTTATAGATATCGCATTAAATTATTATTATTAAATGTATACTCATTTGAATAAAAAAAATGTAAAACTTAAGGATAATCAAATATGGAATGGGACATTTTTAAAAAAAAAAGTCATAATAACACAAAAACAAAGGGGAAAAAAAGTCATATGAGATGACAAGTTTGACCCCAATCTAAAAAATAAATAAAATAAATAGGAATAAGAAATGAGAAAAGCCAACTCATACAAGACCATTTAAAAAGACAACCCATACCATTAAACTTTTAGGTAATTTTCCTTTTTTGAACCATTATGCATTTAGGTCATGATCACATGATATGTCATGTAGTAATGCTACTTTTTTTATTAAAAAAATGCATAGTTGGTATGTTGCATTCACTGTTTCCATGCCCATATATTGGTAGGGAGCTCATAAATTGATTAAGAGTAGATTAATCGATCGGAATGAATTAATTTGATTAATTATTTGGGGTTTGTAATAACAAACAATTAATTATAAATATATATTTATTTTTTTGAAATTATAAAATATATTTTTTAATGTATTAGATCCCCGTTTAATTCATTTTCATGTTCAGTTATGATCAATTTACACTCATTCAATCAAAATTTATACAAAAATTAGTTTGTCTAGCTATGGAATTTGGGCTTGTTTGATGTGGGCTTGAATTTGGGGATTGGTTTAAATATGAGCCCATTATTTTTTTATGGCTGAATAATGTTTGAATTTGATAGTTGTCCTTCTATGTCGATTTTTTAATCTATTGTCTTTGTACGAACCAATATCTTAGTGACTAAGGAATTTATTGTTATTTTTTAAGACCTTGAACTCGAGTACTACGTATGAAGGGATATAAACGTTTATTGTCAAATGATTACATTGTATTCACCCCAAATTAATAAAAAAAAAAATGAGTTCATCTATGTCTTTGCATATGAACCAGAGGATCCTAACATTATATGAAAAAAAAGGTCTTTTTAATAAATTTGATGTTCGAGTTTCAACATAGTTTACAGCTAAGGAAACAAAAAAGAAGACTTCGCAGCTATTTAAATGAGACCTTTGGAGGGAATTTCCAATCAGTAAAAGAATCATACAAAGGTAAACCATCTACAGAGAAGTTCCCTTCCCCATAAAAGAATTAAGGAACCCCCCCCCCCAACCCACCAAAAAAAAAAGTGTTTGGTATTACAGTTGCAAAAGTGGTCATCCAACCATATTTCTTAGGTGTCAAACAAATTTGCCACCTTCAAACTAATTCCATTAGGAAGGGATCACCTTCCGCCATTATTCTTATTAGCTTTATGAATTCCTCTTCACTCGACACCTTCCATGGATGAACTGCCGGTGCTTGTGCCGAATAATGTGTTGAAGAAGAATTAGTTGAAGGTAGATCTTGCTTATACACCATTGTACTCAGCACCGAATCGAAGTTCCCGGGTGAATCCATTGACACAAAGAACATGGGTACAGCAACCTTTTGATGGATATCTAATTGCCCGACCTGGTTAACGAGATCAACAAAGTCAGCCACAAAGTGCCGAGGAACGTAGAATATCTCCGAACTGCAAATTATTAGGCTCTGCTCATTCTTCACAACTTCTTTATAGTTTACTTGGAAGTGAACTGGCATTGTACTAACAACTTTGTTGACCATGTCTGCTTGCTTTGAATACCAATCCGAATTTTCTTTGGTTGTCGTGGTTGACCAAGACATGGGTACCTAAATCACATCAAATTGAGAAGAAAAATAATGACTCATTAGTTACTCATGATCAGCAATTTTATAACAACTGCTTCCTTCATTAAATGGAAAATCTATTGCAATTCACAAATACCTACCAGAATAATATATAATCATTTATAAATGGTTCAAAGAAACAGATGAAACCCAGAGTCCTAGGGACAAAAATTACTAATAAAATTCTGTTTTAAATATTTAAAGGAGCATATCAAGAGTAGGCACCAAAGAAATAAAATGCTCACCGAGAAGGCTTACGTACCTTATCTGTAATCCATAGCTTAGCCTTGTCTGCCTGTAGTAGATTCCAGTAATTAAGCACGGTATCATCTTCAACAAATAAAAAGCCGTCCGCACTAGGGAACTGATTAAATATCTTGGGCATCTGCCTGTAAAATATGTTATGAGATAATTAGTAAACATGACAGACACCTGGTAAAACAGGTATGGCCTCACTTATGAGATAAGTTTCCATGATTATCAACTATTAATTGACCATCTAACAACAATTTGCTGCCTTTAGGAAGGCTTATTTCAGAAGAAAGGAACACACAAACAACCTAATTGACTTAATGCCAAACCTAACTTACATGTCAACATAATAGGAAAAGAAATGGCAATTATGGTGTAATTTATATTGGAAAAATCCATTTGCACTATAAGATAATTCCTTCAACGAGATGATTAATTATTTAGACAATTAATTTATTCTGAAAATAAAATGGATGTGCACTATTTCCCCCCTCCAAGGTTGTGCTCAAGAGGGAGGTTTAAACAGCAATAAAGAAAATTCTTAATCGAAAATTAATCACGAATCTACAGCCTTTGATTGAAAGAGATGTTTCCCCACAATTCTTCCTACAAGGCAAAAACCTCACTGAAGTCAGTGAGAAGAGAGAGCCTAGGTATGAAGCAGCAACAAAAGGCAGAGATACTAAAAAAAAGAGTGGCTCGAGAAGAAAGGAACAAGTTGTCGAGGATGATGAATAAAATCAGAAAAGAGGACAATATTTGATATTTTAAAATATCTAATGATACTATCTAGAACCAGCAAATCAAAAGGTTCCAAAACCCAGTTTCAAACCCTGTGCTGTATCTACTTTATGCAAGGATTCATTAAAATACAACTTTTGCTGCTTAAGGCTAACAAAAGCCCTTTGCAAAAATAGCCGAGTCAAATACAACTCACAAAGTATATCTAGTATATTTTGAGTTAATAGCTTGATTTAATGGTTGAACAAAAGAATAAACCATGCCTGGATATTGGAACAGCTAATCAAACAGGGGTAGCCCCCATTGGAGAAAAAATCTAATACCAGAAACATTCCAAGCACCTATAACCTATGTGTAAATGATTCCATCATGAAATTCTCATGAAAGCCTCTTAGCATCATGCTTCTCCCAACCAATGTTCAAATTTGTATGTTCCTTTCAATAGTTCACTCATTTTTTTTATCTTATTTTGAGTTCAAATAAAATGATTACGAGTTGCTTTATACAACACGTCACCCTTCATAACCTAATATAGTAGAATCTGCTATTGTCTAGTTCTTAATTTCACTACCTCAAATTTTATAAAATAATTTAAAGCATGAGGATTAACATAAAATCGAAGGTTAAGATCATGAATGCCCTGCTAAGGATGAAAAAGAAATAAGGCAAATCTTCACTCTAATTGCTCAATGGAAAAGCTACCAGGTAAACCGTAAACCAAAATGTCACTTTATTCTCTTAAGAAAATTTCAAAAGAGAAGAAAGTAAATAAATTAAAAATCAAAGTTCTAAGCAAGATGCACCATAGACAAATAAAATGATAAACTAAAAGCATAATGTCTTAGTTAAGGAAATGATTCTTACTTGTAAAGGTGATCTAATTGTCCTTCTTCAACAGCAAGATCTGAATTCTTCTTTGCAGACAAAATAACCACAGTTTTAAATATCCGCCCATAAAGCAATCTCCACTCCAAGGCAGTACGTTCCACAGGACCATTGCAGAACATGATAAGTACAACATTTCCGAAATTCTTCCTCCAACGAATCAAATTCCCAATCTCAGAACTAACTGTTCCCGTTTCTTCCACCGCTAGATGGACAGATGGCAGTCTCTGAGGGATAAATTCTTTTCGATCCCCATGACCGATAGTTGCCCGTGGTCGGTCCAATTCTAATGTCATCAACCTTGGCTGCTGATAACCTACAGCAAGCAAGTCTTGAAGCCAAGCAGCAGTAAACTTGAGGTCCTGCACAGTCCAAAACCCCTCCTCTGCCATAGCATAACTCAATTCCAATATCTTCTCAAACAACCTATGCTTATTTGATCTCCATGACACCAGGAATTTGATCAAACGACCTACATTCAGATGAAGATCCTTCTCATCAGAAAAGGGGTATGCCTCGATTCTGTCATACCGATGAACCGTAGGTGGATACACAGCTACATAACCACCAATCTCCCACAAAAGCCTCTGCCCCCAATAACCCCTCAATACATCTGAAGCCATTGTGCTAACAGAAACAGGGAGCATCAAGGCCCAAAATGCTGATGAATGGTAAATTGTATTAAATGAATTCACCGGCACCATCATTCCTTGCGGCAGTGCCACTTTGGGCGCATGCTCATCAAACCTAATATCAAAGGCTTCCAATCCCGACTTCCTAGTAAAATAAAACACCGAATCAACATCCGGTAACCCATTCGAAATTCCTTGCTGTATAAACTGTTTCCCACCAAAAACCTCAGTGTAAAACTCCTCATGTCCAATTTCACCTACATTCTCTAATGGTAACCCCCTAGGCCAAACCGACCGTTGCCCGAAATGAATATAAGGGTTGACTATTTTCCTATCAGGGTTATCATGCTTATACTGCAATATAACTTCTTGCCTGGCTCCTTCCCCCACCAATTCTACATCAAAATGCTTCCGTATATCATTATCAATCACTTCACCCCGATCATCGGCATCAAAGATCTTTTTAGCACCATGTTGAATCGCAAACAAATAGCCAACACTTTTTCTAACATAAGAATCATAAGGCAAATGATCCACAACACGGAAACCCAAACTAGCCTGCGTATCTAAGGACAAAAAAATCGCACCTTTTAAGCTCCAGTCTCTGGGAGTCCTCGAATTCCCAATTGCCAAAACCTGCCACCCTTTAATCTTCACCATCTTTTGCAACGCATCGGACGGGTAACTCGAAACGGAGACAACTATCCACTGCTCCGATCTGAAATTAGCGTACGGAGAAGTCTTGTCAGTAATGGGTTTGACCGAATTCCAGTTGATTTGAGGGAGAGATATGGAATCCATGGCGCGTTGGGTCCGTGATTGGAGGCAAATGAAGGAAGCCGTGTCGGTGGAACTGTAGAGGAAGAAAACGGCGGCCACGGTGGAGATTAGGACAAAGATTGATATGATTCTGTAGAAATTCTCGGAAACCCATATGGAAAAATCGAGGTTTTTGGACTCAGAGAACCTGTTGGGTTGAGTTGTAGGGAGGGTTCTGATCTGGGAAGGCTTAGAAGATTTGGGAACTGCACGATCTTGGACCAACATTTGATCTTTTTGCTTACGGAATTTACAAAGCTAAAATCAGGGTAGATCTTAACTTGTGATCCTCAGCTGCACTCATTCAGCTTGACTCTACACTTTATGTTGAGTAAATGAAACAGAATTGATGGACAATCTTTCTTGTGGTTGCCGACAAGTGAAGGGAAGAGAGGTGGTGGGTTTGGGCATGCTTTAATGTAAAATTTGTATGTAAAGCAACTGCTAGTAGGTTGGACTTTGGTGGGTCGTTGTACTGTCGTCTTCTGGATTTTTTTTTTTTTTTTTTTTTTGCTTTTGTTTTCCAAGTATACAAGTTTATTTCACTTTGTGTTTCTCGTGGCTTTTTTTGTTTTATGGTTGGACTAGGATGATTGAGCACTTGTGCTTAAGAACTGGCCGGGGAGTGGTCGACAGTGAATTTAGAAGCTCATAAATGCTACTACTAATCGGCATCTACTTTAAAACAATTATGCTTTCGAATTTGACAAAGGTTCTTTCTTAACTGCTTTCTAATCATCAATATTATATATATTTTATAGATATAATTATTTAAATTCAGATCTTATAATAAAAATAATATCGTTGTATTGTTAAGAGGTTTGGATAAATTCAAATATAATATTTTTATTTAAAATTTTAAAAAAAAAATCATAAAATGTTCTATTAGGAAGCTGATAAAATAAAATATCAACACAATTTTATATTAAGGGGACTAAATCATATAATTAGATGTTGTCTATAATGTTGCAACTACCCTTTTTTTTAATTTGTTCTGAGTTGGCAAAGGATCGAGATTTGTCTCTGATGACGTCGATGGCTTGTCTAACTCTAATTTTAGGTTTATGATTATGAATTGGTTGGTATTTATTGCGCCTTATTTAACTTTCGGTTAAATTTTCTGATTATAAGTGTGAAATCAGGTAATCATTCAGGTTTCAGTTAGATCAAGTTGAATTCATGTCAAATCAATTCGGGTTATTTTCATATTGATTTTGATATCATATTCAATTCGGGTTCGAATCAGGTTAATTTCAATTCTGATCAATGTCAGTTCATGTCAAAACGGTTAAGGTCTGAATCAATTAAATTTCAAGTTAATTCAGGTTTGGATGGACTTCATGTCAGATCTCACTCAGATCGGGTCGCATCATTGACAGACAAAATTCATGTCGATTCTTACCAGGTACGGATTGACTTTAAGTTGGGTCATTTTGGGTTTTTTTTTGCCTTTCATGACGACGAACTGTAATTTGTAATTGCATATGATTTGGAATAAATTAGAAAAAATATAAATAATTATGAGTCAATTTTAATAATAATATAATTTTAAGGACTAAATTGAACAAACATGAAATTGAAAAAAATTAAACAACACGAATGGATGAGGGATCAAATCTAAATAATAATAAAAAAGAAGTTGAAATTAATATAAAAATAGACTAAATTGCGTCCAATTAAAAAGTTGGTGAACAAAAGTTTATAGGATTTTGAGATTATTATATAATTTATAGAATTTGAAATTAAGTTTATTATGTGATTTCTAGGGTTTGAAGTAAATTACAAAAATATAAATAAGCATGGGTTAATTTTAGATACAAATATAATTTTAAGGATTAAATTGAATAAATATAAAATTTCAATTTAAAATTTAAATAAATTACACAACATATAAGGATTAAATCCAAATAATTGTAAAATATGAAACTGAAATTAATAAAAAATGAACTGAATTATTCATTTCAAAAGTTAAGGAAAAATTAAAACAATTGTAATACATATATTATATATATATATATATACATATATAATATGTATGATGAATGTTATGATAATATGATGATGCATGTATGTATGTATGTATATGTATAATGTTATACTTATAGTTATATAAGTATATAAGTATACATATAATGTATATAAGTATACATTATAGTTATAATATGTAAATATATAATATATATAAGTGTGTGTGTATATATATATATATATTATAAGTATATAATGTATACCTATACGATATATTTATAAGTATGATGTAAGTGTATAGTTATAAGTATACATATATTTAGAATGTATATATTATACTTATAAGTATATATAGGTTTTTGTGTGTATATATATATATAAGTATACATTATACTTATAAGTATATAAAAAAGTTTATATATATAAGTATACATTACCCTTAAAGAAGATTTGTATGTTATTTCTCCTCTTTCATGCAATGATAAACATTTTCGTATAAGGTGTGTTGTCCACGTTTTAAACTTCATAGTTCAAAAAGGTTTGAACGTAATTGATTATTCTATTATTAAGTTATGAGAAATCGTTAAATTTATTGATTCTTCTTATTCTCCACTTTGCGTCTTTGAATTAGTTGTTAAAGATTGTGATTCTTCTTTTCATGGTAAATTATTACTAGATGTTCATACTCGATGAAATTCTACTTACTCAAAGATTCATAGGGCACTTGATGCTAAATTAGCCGTTAACTTATTATGAATAGGGAAAATGACTTGGATATGATTACTGAATATAAATGGGAAATTGTTCAAACAAACTATGATTTTCTTGAGCCATTTTATGAAATGACTACTCTACTATCTAGATCTAAGTATTCCACCTCTAACTTGTATTTGGCTAATGTTGTTGCATTGAAAAGTTGTTGTGTGATATTCAAAATGATTCTTATCAAGGTATTTCTGCAGTTGTAGGAGATGTGCTTGAATTATATGAGAAATATTATTCTGATCACTCATTGATTTTGTTCGTTGCTGGCTTGCTTGATCCTCGATATAAATTACAACTTTTGAAGGAGTTGTACAATATTCTTTATTTAGAGGACAAGGTTCAACGAAGGGTAAGTGCCATATATAATGAGTTTGTTAATTTATATATATGGTATTCAAAATCTGCACTTTCAGGCTCTTCTTCTTTTATCCAAAGTAACACATCTCTATAGACAAGAGTGTCAAATACTTTCAATCGGCATCGAACATTTTAAAAATATGATCTATTTCAAGTCAATTTTCGTAAATTTAACTATTTTAATTTAATTATTATGTTTTCAAAAGTATACTTATTTCATTTTATTTTATTTTTCATAATTTTGATGTCAATTTAATTGCTTCAAAAACTGGAAAATCAAATGTTGACTCCTACATTAATTTGCCTCTTGTTCCCTGTAATAAAGAAGTTGAGTTTGACATTTTGGAGCATTGGAAAATCATAAAGTGCTTCTTTTACGGTACTCTCTCTCATGGCGAGAGATATATTGGCCATTTCAATTACTTTAATCACTTCTGAATCTTCCTTTAGCATGGGGGTCAAATTTTGAACAAGTTAAGAGAGAAACTCTTACATAAAAATATTGAGATTTTTGTAACAACTCAAAATTAGTTGTATGATTTTGAACTGGAAGAAAGAGATGAAGAATATCTTACAGTGGTTAATGATGTTAGAACCAAACCATAAATAAATATGAAAAACTAACCAAGATCTAATCATGTCAAACTATCAAGAATAAAATAAATACTATATTTGCGGAAGTGTACCTAAATCCATTGTTGAAGATTACTTAGAAGGTTGTGATCTTGAAGATTGTCTTTCGGTTGTTATCTTCCAAGAATATAGAATTCCCTTTAGTATAAACTCTTTAACGGAGAAAAGAGAAAATACGAGATATATATTTCTTAGGGACCATAAGCCCTTTATATAACTGATTTAAGAATCAATTATTGTATGTACTTATAAATCTGTCTCTCGTCAAATTATAAATACAACTTTAATAATAGCTACACTTTTATTTCCATGACCCTTCTAATACCTTATGACTTTATAACATAACTGGTCACTTAATTTATGTCATATTTTATGATAACAATATACATTATAAATATGTGCCCATAATTATGAATTTTAATCTAACAATCTTCCACTTGAGCAACATATGTTTCCTGATAAATGTATAACCTTATGAGCTCAAAATTTGTTATCATGTAATATGTGTTCTATAAAAATCTCGTCCATCAACTGTATCCATATAGGATCAAAGCGGCCTTTGACATTTCTATCATGACTTGACCCATCAATGGTCATGCATACAAATACAATGAAATGACATAGATCAATCATGGAACGTAGCATGGAAATTACATGTAATGTGAACCACACATGTTTATTTCCAACTTAGTCATCTTTAAACATTAGTGAGATCAAATTTTACCAAAACCAGAGTGAATAAACCAAAACAAACTTTATTTTCGTAGAAAATAACTTTAAAATAAATATCCTTAAACTGAAGTTATGTTTATAATAAACGAACATTAAAATTACAAACTCCCACTAAAATCGAATATCCTTAATTGATATTACACCCACATGAGTAGTGTTCTCATGAAAGACCTTGGGTGACAGACAATTCTTTAGTAAGCGCGCAGTTATGAGTTTGTACCAACATGCTCTATAAACACATAATCACTTTGAATTTTCTTTAAGAACCAAAAACATGTATATGGAAAAAAGGACTGCAACTTAGTTGTCACAAAATAACTCAAGTGATTTTTCTTATCAATCTATAATTAATTGTTCATGTGACAAAATTTTGCATCCATATTCTAATAAGTCAAAGTCCATAAACCTAATGATCTCTTTCTTACTAGACCTTCGATATGTGAGCGTGTAACATTTTTGTTCTTAAACATGTTGTATGAATCAATTTGGCTGCTATCAAATGATCCATACCCAAAATTACTTAAATATCTGCTTAATATCCTAAAATCATACGCTATGTCTGAATTCTTATAAAAATGAGTATACATTAAATTCTTTTGTTATTTTGAAGCATAAGAAACCTTTAACATTTTCTTAGTTTCAAAATCATCCTTAGGGCCTTAATCAAAACTAAACTTGGTTCCTTTAGTAATAAGGGGCATTATTTGGTTTAATCCCACTAAACTTATAAAATATATAGTTATCAACCAAATTCATCTCAAAACCAAATGAGATAATCAATTGGTGAAGTTTGTTATACAATTAATGAGAGTAATACTTGAACTTATAAATGGATTTCCTTAATTTGCATATTATTAATTTTGTATCATTAGATACAATTTTCTAATTGCACCGTATAAAATATTTCATCAATATTACCATTGAGAAACACAATTTTGAAATCCAACTTATGTAACTCAAAATCAAAT